ATCAATTGCAGTCTAACAGTTTCTTTTTGTCCTTTAAACGATTTTACCAGATAGATGAGTTCTGTAGGTACCTGTTCTTTTGAAATTGCTTCGGTGTCCTTCTGCTGCTGGTACTGTTGCAAAAGACGGTCCTGCTCAAGTTCACGCTGGCGGCGCTCCTCAGCAAAGTAAACCGGAATGTTCTTCTGCGAACGCTGGTGGCAGAGGTAACACAGCTCTTGTCCTGCCTTATCACTGTGACTGCATCTGTAAGACCAAAGTTTACAACTTCATTATTTGCAGTTTTCTTAAAACAAAGAATTAACATTTATTTATCAGCCACTGAGCCAGTGAGCAGAAGTCTTCCATTAAATTTCTTTGTTTCACCAAGAAACGTGATTTTCTTTCCGCGTGAGGCAATAAAAAAGCGGAGCTCTGCAAGCTGCTGTAAATTTACAAGTAACAACAAAATAACGGTTACCAAAAGCAAGCAATTTCAATGGTCCCAATTTGAATGACTACCCATACAGTTAGACAAAGAACTTTGAGACCTTATGTACACGTACACAATAAAGTTTAAATCTAAAAATCATCTGGCATGATGGCTGTAAAAATTGTCAACAAAAAGCGCTTGCGATAAAGACCCATTTAAAGTTAAGAGATTTATTTGTATACACTGAATTACTTTTATTCACCACGACTCTTCTATCACAACGCTCATCACCTTCCCATAAACAAAACTCAAGGGGATAGGAGGAGCGTTGCGTAAGGTGCGTTGCATGTGGAAGGCTTTGTAATTTCCATCCTTTTTATAGCTTGTTTCAGCAGAGGACTTTAGTGAACAACGTTACTTTAAAATTGTTAAAGGGTACGTATTGACAAAAAATTGGATATATGACGTATCCTTTTAGAAGAGTAGTCCGCACCAGTTTTTCAACGGGGCACTGGCTTATTCCGTGCACTGTAAACCGCGTACTGTACACTCTTGAACAGTCGACTCCGAGTGAAAACAAAAAACAAAAAACAACAACAACAAAAACAAAAAAATGGTAACTTATTCGCTCTATCTTGATGGTTTTAGTTTTGTACTTAAAAAAAAGTCCTTATGGGACTTAATTAACATTATATAGCGCTATTTTAAAATGTCCAAGACAAGAAAAAACATTTATTATCTTCATATTGCTTTCTTGACCATGCTGTAACGCTTCAACTTTGAAAGGAATGCAGAAGAGACATGCACTTTACCTTAACAGTCTAGATGCAGAAACTGGAGGTTGAAGAGAGTCCAGATTTTGTTCACCAGGGGACTGTTCACGTCTCCTTGCATCTTGGGTAAGAGTCTTACCATTCTTCGACACTGTAGATCCCCTGATACCTTTTGGGGGAGTTGCCTTGAAGGTGCTTCTTGGAGCTGGTGGAGGTGGCGTCAAAGTACGTTCAGGAACACTGTATATTACACCTGTGGCTTTAGCAGTTTGAAAGGGAGTTCGAGGACCATTAGCAGTTGCAAGCCTTGATGGACTCTTGGGAAGAGCTGCATTGAGAACACTGTATATTACACCTTTAGTTAATGTTAAAGGCTTTAGGGGGCGGTAATTTGAAAATTTTGGATAGGGGTTCGAGTGAACCAACCCTTTTAAGGACTAAGTTGCAAAATTGATACCTTTTTTAAGGCTCAAAGGACACCCTATTCAAGGAAAAAGCAAAATTATTAATAGCATGAAAAGGAAAACTTTATTTCTTCTCTGTAACATTGGATGTATAGGGTAAAATACTAGAATAAGATAATATGAATCATAACCGGCGGGCGTTTTCACACTCCAGTATTAGATAATACAATATCAAGAAACAAAAGGTCCAAAAAGATAATGGACCGAGAACTTCAAAAACCATACCCTATTCCGCGGCACGTACCTATATAGCCCATATATGGGAGTACCCCCCCGGGGGCTTAAGCAACAACGACAACGACGATGGCGTCTTCACGCTGTTTCAAAATTCATCGCTCTGATTCCTTGTCGTTTATTTTGTCAAATTTTGATATATTTTTTTCTGAAGTTGAATTATAAAGATTTTTTTTCATATTTTAAAGAGAGAAATAGAAAATTATTTTTCTTGAGTTCACGTCCTCATCAAGACGGGTAATTAGGCAGTTTCACGTATTGATCGTGCAACGACGGCTTAGAAATATACAAAAAAGCCAATGCAATATCAAAATTGTTGTTTTTCTTTGTTGTTTTTCTATTGCTTTTTTGTGGCGTTCTCGTTCTCATCATTACTTATAGCTCCCTGTTATTATACACTGGTTAGCATAACTTTCAACCACAGAGTGAATTACAATGGACAGTTCTCTAACAGGACATAGTCTGCTACACAGCCGTTTTTAGTGTCGTCACGCAACGCTAGGGAGGAACGTTGCGTGACGTCACTAAAACGGCTGTGTAGTAGACTAAACAGGACCCCGAACAGGACCAAACTCAGTAGGCTTTGAAGTTTCTTGACAGCTTCACCTATTACTAGTAATTACAACACCTAAGATTGATAGTAGATAAAATAAAACTCAATGATATGATTACCTAAACAGTATTAACATGCGCAAAAAATTCCATTTCTTTTCGAAAATTACCACTTGTTTTAATGCAGAAAAAAATATAATGCTTGTCATTCTTCATTTTGGTATCAAAACCACAAGTAGTATTAATTATGCACATGTATCTAACAGCTTGACTGAGATGAGTTACATCTAGACATTTAGAAGAAATCACTTTAGGAATTATTTAAAGAGCAAACTGCTCAGTCAGTGATTTAAAAAAGTGACCAGAAAATATTATTATTGCCAGTACTCATGCTATATAAAATGGAAAATTCATAAACAACAGGCTTGTTGCAAGTAACTATCATAACTTATTTCTGAAATTAAAAAAGTGTAATATAAACAGGTAATCATGGAACCAACACCTGGTATAAAATTAATATTTCTTGGTAAAAATAAAGACTTACGTACTAATCACATAGTGAGACTTGAGTGGTGAAAAACTGAAAGTGATCCATTCCTTGCAGTCTAGAAAAATTACTCCCTGCTTACAAGTTTTAGTAAACTTTGAAACTTCTATGAAAGTCTTTTTCTTTGGCAATGAAGGGAATGAAACACTCTGATTAAAGTAAACCGCAGCCATTTGAAAGAAAATCTTGGGACTATACCATCATCTGCGATTGTTGTTTAAGTTACATAAGGGGAGTGAGATGAAAATTTTTACAGCTAAAGTGCCCTTAAACATTGTGTTGCCTATAGCAATGCACAAAGGGTATCACATGACCTCACCACAGTGGATTACTATTCTTACATCAAATCAATATACATGTACATGATTTATGAAAATCACCATCTGAGTTCAAGATACCTTTGTATACATGTTATTGTTGATATAAAAGGCATTTAATTATTTACAGAACATGTCTATTTTAAATGCGTCAGAGAGGTGAAAACTAAAGGATACACAATCATACCAATTCAAAAAAGAGAATAATATTGTTTTTGGAAAAAGCTAGCTCTATAAAGAAGTTGGAGTTGAAGAATTATTAGCCCAAACATTCAGAGTCAGTACTTTTTTTTTTTCATTTGGGAAAAAAGTTTCCTTTGCTTAATTAAGATTCTAAAACTTGTGGTATAAAGCACTAATAATAGAATTTCATTACTTATTCACCTGGGATTTGTTTGGGTGAAACTTCAATTTAAAGCTTGCAGACAACTGGCTATCAGGGAGTAAAAACTTAAACTTAGTGACAATCTTAGATGAGAAGAATTAAAAGAAAGCTGACAACAAATTTTAGCTATCTTCAAATATTGGTTATCAAAATTAAGGTGGCTCCATCATTAATACAGGGGCATTGAACTACGGCTGTATGACAAACTTTTTGTCATAACTTAACTTTTCGGTTTTATGGAAACTTTGCTATGAAACTTTCAGAAGATCTACAGCTATCATTTGGCAATAGTATGAAATAATCTGATTTTACTTGTGGTAAATGTTTTTTTTTACAACATTAACACTTAAGTGGACCTTGCCTTTCTAAGACTAAATCTTTTAGTTATTACCATAATATGGATAACTTACAGTAATTTACAGTATCTAAATCCAGGCTTAACAAAATAAATTTGAATGGGTCAAAATTTGTTCTCTCAGTTTAGATATCATAATATACCAAACGGTAATATGCTGCCACATAAACCTTTTTTATTACAGGACAATAGTAATACTTTTATACCAGTGTCCTTTCAGTTTTTGCCTGTCAGGAAAGTCAGTGCAATATATTTGACTTAAGTTTAAAAAAAAATCTTGGAAAGAGTTATCAGTATAAAGTGAATCTTTGTCACATTCAGTCTCCATATTAAGGTTCTTAAAGCAACAGTACTGGCATCATACTGCAGTGGTTAACCTTAACATTATAATTCTGCCTGCAGCAAAAGTTAACACTTAACTTTGCCCAGGACTCTCACTTAGCACTGAGTAAAACCAACCAACCTGTACCTGGATCTTTTTTGTTGTGGTTAACATCGTCCTTTGAAGCTCCTTCATTTGTACTTAGTACAATACCATTGTATCTACTGTACTTGCTTTGAAAATAGTCTTTGGATGGATGATCCAGTAAGTTATAAATTCTTGAAAATGTACTGTGAAAATTGCCGTAGGTGCATGGAACAGGTATTTTTTCATAAGATAACATGATGAGCCAATGATTTTAACCTTGTACAGGTACTTTACAAGACATACAAGAACAACGTCGTCAGGTGAATAGTATTACACTGTGTGCACTAAGAGTTACAAAAATGTTTAAATAACTTTGACTTCTACACTCATGGTAACAGTTGCTATGACAAAACTCTACAGATACACTTAATTAATTATTGATTGTTTCAGAGACTTTAAAAGTCAAACTTATGGTTGATTAATTTTTATTTGCAATGATAATTTTCATGTAAACAGTAGGAGTGTTGACAAGCAATGAAACCTTCTGAAAAGTTATTTAAATGTTAGTTCTTTCCAAACAACGTCATGCTGAGATGTAAAGAGCTTGTTAACAGTCTACATAAATTATGAAAAATGCCTCCTGGATTCTTGAAGAATAACAAGAAACCTTTCACTGTGTTGTATTGTTTTTAAGTGTTTTCAGCAGAAACCTATAATATTTATTCACTGATGGGTGCCTAGGAGCAACTTTTAAAAAACATGATAGATTCTCCTTCTAAATTGTCTACTGTCTGCTGAAGTTGTGGTGGAAGCAACTTGACATGAGGTGAAGTTACAGTAACATGTCATTGTATTACAGCATAAAGATCATTTTCTATGCACCTTCAATTTATTTTTTATATGACTAACTTTCGCTATTTTGGGTGCTTACTATGGTTTGAATTTCTGATCAACACTTTAAACGTAGCAAAGATAAATAATTATAATGAGAGGAAGATAATATAAATAACACCATCTGTGAATATTTCTTCATTCCCTTTTTGTAAATATATTATTAAATATATATTATTTTTACACTGACTTATCAATATGGTTTGAAAAAATTTCTAAAATCAAAGGGAAATTAAATGAGCCACTACATTACACCTTCTAATGTAATACATGTACTAGCATGTACTTACCTTCCTCATCCAAAGGTAAATCTTGCTGTTCCCCCATCAAAGGTTCTACAACAGGTATAGACCCCGCTTCACCTTTAGGATTCTCAATAATTTGTGCTTCAGTTTTTTCTTTATCAGGGATAATAGCATCTTCTCTTGCAGCTATACCAGTGTCGTTCTCCTCGTCCTGTTCAGTAATGGTAGGCATACCCTCTTTAGCTGGGCTTTTAGGACTTCCTCCTTCTCCTGGACTTATTCTGAAAGTGAATAGAGGACAACAATTCTTTATTTTAAAAAGTCAAATGGCCTTTTAATTGTTACATAATATGAGAATACAAATCTCAGTCTAAACCTTAGACAATTTCCTGGGCCCGGTTGCATAAAACGCCCGTAACAACTACAGGTATATATACGTACGTCCACTCATAACTTAAGTGACGTCGAGTTGCATCAAATCACTTAAGTGGTCCACTTAGGGAATTCACTTAAGTGGTTGCACTTACGATTTTCGTAAGTGTTCACTTAAGTGTCGGTTATGCAACAGAAATTGCGGGTGTTGCATAAAACTCTTTTTACGGGAAAAATAGCACGTGAATTTACGGGACCTATGTAGGTCCCGTATCGTTACTGTTTTTACTAAAGTTAAGAAGATCTTTTACAGAGAAGTGAAAAAAAGTAATTTTTCTTCACGTAATTCAGTCTAATGTGTGTGCTGTGCGTAATTCAGTCTAATGTGGAAATTTCGAACAAATTTCTTAATAAATCTAAACTAATATTTGCTATATACCTACCTTGGTAAGACAAGGGTATTACTTGTATGCAGTCTTGGACTGACAGGCTCTGATAGAACTGAGTCAGCTGTTCCTGGTCTCTGCAAAATTTAAGAAGACTTAAACTGGGTCTGTCTTATTATAATATGATGACCACCATGGAAAAAAATACAAAGTACATGTACTGGTGCTACATGTAACATCAAGAAACTAGAGCTCAGTAGTAACATGCATATTTATATGGTAAATATTACCTGTATAAAGAGTATTTATGGTATCAAAGAGGGTTTTAAGTTGAATTGACAGTGTAGTTCCAGAAAATATCCATACTCCCCCCACAGAAAGGATTGGAAATTTCTGGGGGGTGGGGGGTTCTCAAAGGCCCCAAAATTTACATAAATGTATGAAGCTTGACTGGAATTTCCAGAGAGGTGGGGGAGGTCTAAGGAAAAATCCCTTCCATGGGGGAAGTATGGAACCACACATTGGATGAGGCACTGTCAATGAGAACCCTTAACATTTTCCTTAATAGGCTTTGAATGCAACCAAAGCAAGGCTAGTTGCCAGGGGAAACAGTATATAACAACAAAGACATTGTCGTCATCACAAATCGTCCATGAAAAGTTTGCCATATGGTATAAACTCCAACACCATACCTGAAGTCCCACTCTGGGTAGCTAACTGGGACAGGATATTTAAAGGCAAATTGTTGTAATTGAAGCCGGTTTACATGAAAAACAGGTCAGTCAGCCCCTGCACTAATACTCTTTCATACTGAACCAGTTTCAGAAGCAGGTAATTCAAAGTATTCTGAAACTGGTTTGGTTAGAGAACTGAAGGATAGTTATCCTGCAAATACAGCTGCCTCACTCATTGATCCTTGTCATGAAAGAGACCTTAGCATTTTAAACTCCCAAATTCCATACTCGTGATGTAAATCAATGGTTACATAATTAAGCTGGCAGTCATCTAGTTCCAGATTTTATTTCCTTGAGCTTCTGTTTCTTAATTTGCTACAATTTTGGTGCTAGCAAAGCCAAAAAAAATAATACTTCAGGTAAACCAAACATATCATTCCTGGGAAATAAGTGCCTGCTCTAATGTACAGAACACAAACTGCAGGTCAAGAGTAATGTTTTAGGCCAAAACTGAGACGGCCCTATCTGGCAAAACATCCCCAGCAGTGTGGATTCTCGAGAAACAGCAGGTTGTATGTGCTTGAGATTAATGAAAAAGGGCTCTTACAGGTACATCATATTCTCCTTGTACACTTTTATTGAATTCAATTGACTATAATATGCATCCATGTCTCTGAGAAGGATGCCATGAAACCAGTAAATAAAGCAGTGAGTCCAAGTAAGTCTTGGGACTCATAGAACTAACAGACACATTGATCATTGATCCTGGCATGTGTTGCAATCAAGAACAGTACTTACATTGGATAATGCATGAACTAAATTCCCAGAGCCATCCATACTCCTTAAGAATTCCTTGTAAAATTTCATTTTAACTTTGGACTCTCTAATTGACAACCTTCCAATTCCTGCAAAGTGAAACTCCACATTTCTTTTAGCCTGCACAGATCGACTCAAAGCTTGTAGGACCTCTTTAACACAACTTTCTACAGTGTCTCTATTGAATGGAGTTTCATTTGATAGTGCTGCAAAATTGAGCTGTACTATTGGAATTTGACCTGCAACAACAAAATATGCAAAGTTGGTATTAAAATCAATATGATATAGCATAAATAATAATAATTAAATTAATACACTGGCAATACATCATTACATAATACATTGCCTGGGTTAATTACAGCTCACCTACATGTCACGCATGCCAAATCCCTAAGTACAGTGTACAAGTATTTATTTGAGGGTGAAAGAATTAATACAATGCATTCAGGGCAGCTGCTCTAAGATTGTTATGAGAGAGCAAGAGTAAGTCAGGGGACAGCAGATGCATGCTGCTAGCCTAGAGCACAGCCTGATGCTGCAACTGCAGTTTCCAGATGGTATTTTTCCCGCTGTCCTTGTTATCTCTTTTCCTTTCTTTCCTGCCTTTTATTCCCTCAGTTACTCCAAGACTCCTCTTACATTTCCTTACTATCCTTAATTTTTCCCAATAATAATAAAATTTTGTAAATATCACCTGAGCTACACTAAATTATGTAAACAAAGAGCTTAGTTAAGCATAGTAGTCCATTCAGCTACAAGGCTGCAAAGATCAGATCCTTTGCTTCATTAAAGTTGTTACTAAGTTTTTTTTAAGCAGGTGGAATATGATTGTTTGGAAGGAGCATACACCTGAAAATAGGTACCCGGAAGATCATAATTTCCAACTATACTTATAAAATAACTTCTGGGTTCAAAACTTTTAACAGTTCTGCTAATTTGTACTGACTTACTTTTTCCCTTTATATTTACATTTTTGATAGGTATATTTATACCTTTTAAATATTGCATGAGTGTAATATGACCCAGGCAAGGTTCAAATACAAGTGTTAGTTTCTGCCGGACATTCCTTTCTTTTTAGATGTAAAAAATTCTTTTAGCTTAATATTAACGGCCCTTCAACACGGTTTTAATACTTCAGTAACACCTTCGCCGACAGTTATGAGGTAAACCATTGTCTTATTGTTAGCTTTTACCTGTAGTGTGATGCTTGGTGTAATTTAGGCCATGAGTCATAGCAAACTTCTCTGACAGAACGAAAACAGGTCTCTGGATCTGTATATATTTATTGTTACCGACGTCTAACTTTTTCTGGGAATAGGTAAAAGTTCCAAGCCCTGGAACACACACCCCCTGTTGGAAAAATTAAGTACTGCGATCAGTGTTTATCACACAAGACACCACTTATGTTATAAGCTTATACAAAGACGACATTATGAGATGCTGATCTTTCACACTTGAAGCTTTAAAACTATTTGCCGGGAATGGTAAAAAGAAATAGATGTTTTCAAACAGACCAGGAGAAATCATCTAACAAATGAGCCAAAAATTGGGCGCGAAGATCGCGGGTTAGATAAGCTTAATCGTATTCCATTGCACGTGCAGAAGGAAAATTCGAATGTTACTGAATTTACCAACCTTTTGCAGAGCCATTTGCCTTTCGATGAACTTTGACACATTATCCCATACGTTCACGATATCTAAAAGAGCAACAGATGTTAAGTACCCTATGAAACAATACAAACCGGGAAAGCCAACAAACAAATTGACTCCTTGGCTTGATAATTGACTGTGTACGTTACCTTCTTCAGCCAGTTTCGGTATGGCTGAAAACCGATTTTTTCGCGCCTCCGAGACCAGCCCATACATTACTTCAGCCATAGCGGCCAAATTAACCTAAACCGTTTGAAAGGCGGTACAATTTTTTCGTTAAACCATCTGCTTGTGATGAAGAAACGGGGATCGATTGTGACTTGGCTTGCCGTACATAATCGTTACTATGACGACCACTTGCTGCAAAATGGCCAGCGGTGCTAATTAGGACAACTAGTGCCAGGTTACCTCGAGCGCAGTTTCGCCCCACGTCTTCTAAACACCGTGGCAAAACGTCTACGCATGCGCCAGGTTGAGCATTTCCGGTCTCTTTTTCAGTCACACTTTCCAGTCAGATCAAAGTCTTCCGCGCGCGCTCGGCTTCATTCTGTGTGTAGCTTGTGGTTCAGTTCCTCGTGTTTTTGACTATTTTGTAGTTATTGAAATTGTTTTTATGGATAACCAGGCACAGATCACTGAAACAATTGGTCGATTAGATTCAGAAAAGGTAAGATGATAATAATTCAGTGTGTAATTTTGGCTAGAGCGTCAGGTAAACTGATTTTCATTCACGAAAACAAAGTTTTTGACTTTTTTTTCGTTTTTTTTTCACTTAACCTGGCTGAAACTAAGACATAAAAAGTTATCATTGCCAGCTTGTGTATTGTAGTTCTAATTTTCAGTTCTTCAGTTTCTGAGACTTCATGCCTTAAAGCCGATTAGAGATTTATTTGGAAAACGACAACACACAATCGCTTTGTACTTTTATTTACCAGTGAGTTTTACCGTGTTTTGAAACGAAACTCTTCTGGGTTGATTGCCATGAAACATAAGCTTAATTATACTGTTGAGGTTTGCAGCAAGTTGACAACACTATTTATTTTTTCATTCTCAGAATCAGATAGAGAAAGTTGGTTCGATCGCTTTTAGAAGTCGAAATTTTCATGCCTTGTATTTAGCAGCTGAAAGCAGTTTCGTGTTTGTATGAGATGCAGCCGAGCCGCACAGTCTGAAATTATTGAAGTCTTCACTGACCAAAGAACAACCATGTAAAAGAATTAAATAGGCATTTTCTTGAATGAAAGTCATCTATAGGCAAGTTTAGTTTCCCAGCACTGGAAACTCCGGGTGTTCGTGACTGCAGTCATCAAAGTCGAGGTTTTTATTAAATCCCGCACATCTTTTGTTTTGAGTTGTTGTTTTCTCCGATAATAAAAAAATTGTTCAACGGACTAAAATTTAATTTCCTGGTTCTAGTGTTAATGATAATGATAACGGCCTTTTTTGGTTTCTTTCATAAGTATTGCCATTCTTTTCTTAGTTATCGCCTTCTCCCAAATTAACTTATGCCAAACCAGTAGCATGCAAGAAAGCCAGTAAAAACAACTTCGTCTTGTCGAGCGCTCGCGACCTTCAAACTTCAAACATCATTTTCACCGTTGGTGCAAACAGATAACCATGTGGTGCAAAAGTTTGAGAATAGAAAAATATATAAGCTTTCGAATGAAGTGATTTTTTTGGCCCCCTTTTTTGTCTGTTTCGCCCTTTTTGCTTTTAAACTTGGCGCGACGGCAAAGTTATGCTTACGCTATTGGTTTATATACTAGACCGGAAATAAAAAGCTGACCGGATATTAAATTTTGTGCTCATGCGCATTGCGTTTTGCCGAGGGGTTTTGGCCTTCTATATCTAGACTGAAGGGCTAAATTCCGTTGATTTCCTGTTACAAGAGACCTGGAAATTTGAAAAATATTATTGCCTCCTCAAAGTTTCGATCAATCGACGACATTGCATGACAGTAACGAAAAACAATACAGGTTATTCTTGTTTTAAGTTAGAAGAGAGAAGGTTTTTGTCTTTGCCATTAGCATAATGCGACATCTAAAGGGATGAATTTTTAAAACTAGGTGGAGCACTGACAAGTGTCTGGTGAATAAGTTTATGACATTTTTTTTATAGAATATATTTGATTCATCTTTTTTGTTTTGGCTTTTAAAATTTTAGTGAAAAATGAATGTTGCTAATTAAATTCGTTTATCAAACGAATACTTCATCTGACTAAATCAACCGCTATTCTTCGTGAAACTGCACGAAAGAGGGTGACCAGCCATCTTTAAAAGTTGAACAGAAGCGTCGAATTCTTCCTTGAATTTGTTGCATCCTGACATCATTCTATGAAAAAGATCAAGGGATAAAAACTGTCATCCACTAGTTCAGCGTAAGATGGAGAACACCTTCGTTTTGCGAGAAATAGAATAATTTCTGTAACAACAGTGATATTTCACTAATAGTAGAATGGGTCTACCGCGGTATATGCTATTCTGATAAACTTCTCATGTACTGAATCCAACACCTCTACGTCTCAAAAGCTACTAACCATTTTGGCAAAAAAATATATATATAAAATGGAAATCATAAGCTGAATTCGGTTCAGATAATGAATATTTTCACCAGGGTAATCGGCACCTGTTATTTTCTGTTTCATACGAAAAACTCAATGAAACTTTTTGTGGGCTGTGCGAGTTCTGGGTTATAACAGGGTTACCGTGAAGCTATCGAGTGCCTGACCTTTGGTCCCAAGAAGTCGGAAACATCAGCAGCCGGAGTAGGCGGGTCCACTGGACCAACACCAGAAAGGCCTGTTAACAAGCGAGAACAACATGGTGTTCCAAGATGGATCTTAGAAGGGCGGTTCAACTTTGCAATGAAGTTGATATATTTCCGTGTACGTATTGAGATATGGCACTATTTCTATCTCATTTTCATGGCTAAGACCCAGTAACTTTAAAAAGAAAAGGGGAAACAGCCCATTTCCTTACAGGCGCTGAGGAAGATGTACTCACTGAGGAATTTTGAGTGAGGGTGCGCCCGGCCCTGGGATCCCGAAACCATAATTCTGCACTAGAATACCGGCGGTTCAACTGTAATTTTGCTACCCTTTTCAAGATTAGGCACTAAGTTTCAGCACCCCATCCCACATTAAATATGGACCAAAAACTCCAGTCTTGTCTGGACATTTGTACCAACGATCAATTTTTTATACGAGATACCCTGTTAATGGACACATTCCTCCTATGATTTATATCGCTTAGCCCGGAATAAACTGCTTAAAAACCCTACCCTTTCACAGTAGAATACACCTGTTATAAGCTTCTTTACAAGAATTGTGATATAACTGGGAGAAACAAAAAAAAATGACCGAAGAAAAAAGAGCTTAAACCAGCCGTTTTCTTCTTATTAAAATAATAATGAGATAGAAATGAGGAGGCCGATACAAAGTTCATTCCCTAACTCAACACCAGAACCACCTCCCGTCTGCCATGTAAAGAACATATAACAGCTTTGGACTGCCAATTCAGATTTCATTCAATCTCACACCTGAAAGTCAGTACATTACCGTATTTCCATTTTAAAGAATCTTCATACAGCATGATAGCTGCAACGGCATCTTCTTCGGTAACCTTCAGGGAAATATTTAAGTACCAATGGTTGGAAATTTTAAATCGATCATTCATTCAACCAATCAATCAATCAATCAACTAACAAAACACGATGAAAGGGAAAAATTCTGGATAAACTAACCACGTATACTTTCTACTGTTGCACAATCTAATTAGAGCAAACATTACAACGACACTTGTAATTGCCCAGCTTGGTTTTGATTTGTTAAGCCTAAGGCGTTCCAACGAAATTCTTGAGATAATTGGGAGTCTTCCTAACATGAGAAAGTAGATTGTTTTTTCGAGAGTTTCCTCTTCAGAAACGATAGTCATTTGCTGTTTATATTCATGGATTTCAAATCAGCAAATCTTATTCAAAACGGAATCTCAAGATCAAAATCCAGATTTGGATTTTCCGAAGAAACGCGAAAACCGCTTAAAGATCGAAAATGAATTCGTTCCTGGATACACCCGAAAGGAATCAACACACACTCAATACATAGAACCGAGTTAAACTGAGAATTAGAACTTTTGTTCCCTTAGACTGTTTTCCAGCGCTTCAGTTTCGCTTACTTTTTTCTTACAGCCACATTTGACGACTCGTAGCCGATGGTTGTCTTTCTTTACACTGATTGTCAAAGTACACTTAAAAATGAGGCTACATTAAAGAAGAAGGCTTAAAGAGAGAGCTGGTATGATTGTTTAATTGTACCTTTAATGAGCAGACCTTATCAGTATCTACTTTACTACGATTGAAATTTTAAAAATGTACAACGTAACATCAGGTAGCCTCCCAAGCAGACGTTCCTAGGGCTCCGCGAGGTGTTCGTGGCCCACGTGGGTCAGGAACGCCTGGCGAAGCCCTAAGAAAATCTGCGTTGGAAGCTAAACAAGAGGTAAAACACGACGAGGTTAGTTGTAAGCCTTTTTTTCTGTAATTGCACCGAAATCATAACGAGTTATTAGACAAATTTCCGTTCAAACATCATCAATCCAAAATCACGGAAGAACTCCACCGGTTTTAACCCAATGTTTTCTTCTAGAAGCTTCCTGCCCCATTTGGTGTGGCGTTCCTTGTGAAATGTAGAGAAGATAAAATCTCCTTGCAGTTGCTGATAGGCACATTTCAGTTGCTGAACCACGTGCACTTGGAACATCACAGGGTCTTCTGTATAAATGGAAGCCACCCAATGCATGTGCTTTACTCGGGGAGACCGCCGACCGTGGGCGAATGACTTCGGTAACTGATCACGAGAACAGTCGGCCGCATCTCGGTCAGAGAATACACAATCATCTTGTTCAAGAATGCAGCCGATGTTAGATCGGAGAGCTTCGAACGGTTCCCAGTCGACGATGATAGTACGGCCAGGAAACATGTTTGCCACTGAGTCGTCTAGAATGTAATGGTAAAGAAAGCTTTCCGTGCAGGGTTTGACCTGAAAGCCAAGATTCTGGGCTTCGTCTTCTAGGGTCTTTTGGTTCAGCGTTTCTTTAGTAATGTAGTAGGCCAAAATTTCTCTCTCGAATAAACCAATGTCGCCATACTTCTTTTGGATGGCAAGTCGCTCGATGTTGTCGGATTTTGTGGTGAAGCGTTCTCGACAGACATTCGGATATTCGCTTCGAATGTAACCGTGGATAGCTTCGATCAATCGTGAACTTAATCCCAAGCCTCGAAATCTGGGATGGATCCGCAAACCTTGGCTGATGAACGTTTTCCCCTCATCTATGATATGAATCGCCCTTAGCCCAATGAGCTGGTCCCCATACTGAGCCACAAAAATTGTGCGGTTCGGTTTTGTGAGCCACTGGAGGAAAACACAGGGAAAGTAATCGTGTCCGTTGTAAATACCTTCCGATATTTCTAATATGGCCTCCAAATCGGCTGCAACTGCTTTACGAATAGTTATTTCCTTCATGAGGCCTTCTAATGATGCTCAGTGGATCGGTGAATGCGACCTGAGAAGATGTTGTTTAACTGCAAGGAATTTGTTTTGAGATATAAACTTTAGGTCGTGCGAAACCCCTACTATAATTGGCACAAAAACAGGTGACTGTAATGTAAAATGTTCATTTTAACAATAGAAATTTTATATGTTACGTGTTTTCGAACAATGTCCGACGATCATTTTATAAATGCCGAAGTAAAGAAATTTAATTCCTTGTTAATAACATGAAAAGTGAACAGTAATAAAAAACAACTACAAATAACGTATCATAAACGTTTTAAATTGAAATTTCTATCTGGAAAAGAAAATAAACTGACATCGTTACAAAATCTTCAGTTTTGTAGTTGCTAAAATACGAACGCGAACTTCGATGGACGCTCTTGTTTCTGTATCTTAAAAATTCAAGAGTTAAGCTATTTACTGACTTTTACGCAAGTGTTGCTAAATTAAAATCCGGTTCAAAATAGAATTTAACTGTTTACTGGAATACAATGGTGGAAGTTAAGAATGGTAATGAATTACTTTGTTTCGAGTAGCAATCCTGTGTCCCAACAGACGGTTTTTTCTCACGAGTCGTTACTTTTTTGCTTTATAAGTTCTTTTTTGTTATAATTTTGGGTACTCGATATTTCTAGAAGCCGTGAACAGAGAGAAATAGGGTCAGATAACACATAAGTGTAATAGGTTTGGCTTGGCGCACGCTGCTGGTGTACATGGCTAAAAATCTCACATCGTTTGGCTCTTATGAACTTATTAAAACTCAGATCGCACCGATATTTGGCAAGAGGTTAAAGTTTATAAACAGCTTTCCACTGAATTTTTTTTTCTGGCTGTAAGACCAAAATAAAATGAAAATATGAAAAATATGGCTCAAAATGGGACCATTTTTTAACAGCTCGCGTAGCATTTACAGTCTAACCGCGCATATTGTGGGATTTCTCTGTTTCTGTTAATGGTACTTTGGAAAAACTTCTCCACAGAGGTCAGTGACTTATGAGTACTAACTGTTTCAAAAATTACTGAACATAATGGCAAAACAACAAAGTTTAGGGCGTTTTCGGAAAGATGTTCTGTTTACATCCGATCTCTGTGCAGCGCGAACGTCAATTTAAAAGATTGCTTTTGATTGACTTTCTTTTGTTGTTAAGAGGAGAAATAATAATTTTTGGAATGCTCATAAGTTAAACCTTCCTTATAGACTAACTGTTAAGACTTCGGGAAACCCATTTTTACGCTAAGATCAAATATTTAAGGTTAGACAGCATTTTTTAACGTGAAAATTCGTACTCCGTGCGTTGGACCGAAAATCGGATTCTAGAGTGTGCCTTGGCACAAAGATTTTGTGCCTAAAATGTTCCTAAGATGTGCATAAAGTGTGCATTTTAGTTTTGAAAAACGTGCCCAAGCCGTGCCTAAGTTGTGCCCAAACTGTGCCTAATCTGTGCACAAGATGTGCCAAAATATTGAGTCACTCGGAAAATCATGTCTAGCCTATCGAGCCGTAAAATAGACGTTGGTATATTTTACGACGTAACGACGGGTGCACAAGGTTTACGTCGTAAATTTTACGACGTGATGCCTGACAGGAGAATTTGACCCCCTGGACGTGAAAAAGGTGTCAGAAAGTCAAAAATGTGAACAGTAATGAACACTTTGAGCACATTTTTAACTTTCTGACGCCTTTTTCACGTCCAGGGGGTCATATTCTCCTGTCAGGTATCACGTCGTATAAATTTACGACGTAAACCTTGTACTCGCATCGTTACGTCGTAAAATATACTAACGTCTATTTTACGGCGAGAAATCGATTATCGTTTAGTGTACTATATCACGGCGTCACGTTTACGACGTGATTATATTTAGCAGACACGTTACGTCGTAATCATACCACCTACTTGAAATTACGACGTAAACGAGGAGGTTTGCGTTACGACGTAAAATAAATTTTAGCTACACGTTACGTCGTAAGATACGTTGCAATTAATCCATTCGTCAAGTTGTCAATCAAATAGGTTTTACTCTGCTTCTTAAGTTGTCAATCAAATATAATTTTACGACGTGAAGTTAATATAGTTAACTTGTCAATCAAAAAAAGTTCGCAATGTTTAATAAGTTAACTTCAAAGTCTTAATAGATTACCATTTACAATGTTTAATAACTTAACTTCAAAGTCTTAATAGATTAACATTTTCAGTGTTTAATAAGTTAACTTCAAAGTCGTAATAGATTACCATTTACAATGTTCAATAAGTTGACTCCAAGTCTTAATAGATTACTTAATTGACTTCAAAGTCTTCATAAGTTTTAAAATAACTCGGTAATATTAATATGTTAATTTCAACGCCTAAATTTTACACTTTTCAAAATTAAATGAATAAACTATAAAGTCTCAATCGGTTATCAACGTTACGAGTCATGCAAAGAGTTAATATTGGTCAAACGATTTCATGCCTGATATAAGAAAATTGGTATTTCCACCTCTGTCCCATATTTATTACTAAAAGAACGCAAGCGCTGGTTTTCCGATTAATAGCTTGTCAATTTCATTAAAATAAATATTTATTCGAAATTCAAATATTTCCAACAAAGATGCAATTATAATGATCTATTTTTACTTAGTGAAAGATCTCCCCCTTCTGGCAATATTGAAAATTATTAGAACCTCTTGTAACTTTACGCAAAAAAAAAAAAACACCCAACCAACAAACAAGTAAAACTAACCAAAGAGTGATACAAGACAAGTTATGTATTTTATGTATGGATTAATTAAAATCCTCGAGTACTGAATCGACTGAGAAGAGAAACTTGCACACTTCCAGAGCATAATCTACCCAGCAGAGAGAGAGAGAGGCAAAAAAAAACTTTCTTGGAACAAGCAGCATTTTGGCATGAGGTAAAAGTCGTGTAGGCCTACCACCCCTTTTTATTGCTACAGCAATATTGATGTTTGCAGGGCTCGAAATTAAAAAAATCTTCAGGTCGCCTTTTGGCGACCAACCGGAGAATTATAGTCGCCAGATGCAAATTTTTAGTCGCCAGTTTGTAAAATGTAAATGACGCAGCTCATAGCCCGGCATAGTAAATCGAACCCAATCGAACTAAATTTCAATCGAACTCAATCGAACTCAATCGAACTCAATCGGTGGATTGAGTTCGATTGAGTTCGGCAATCGAACGAAATCGAACTCACCGAAAAGAAAAAAAATCAATCGAACCCAATCGAACGTTTGATTTTCGAACTCGTGATTTATGTAAAACAGACGTTGAAAATCCATTACCAGATCTTAGAAGCTCGAGTTACTTCAGCCCTGAGTGTAGCGCACGTGTTTTTTGTAAGCGAAGAAATTCCGCAGAAATGGCTTCAGATGCGTTGTGGATCGTAAGCTTCAAATGTATAGTCAAAGGCTACCAGGAATGCCGCTTTGACGTCAAGGATGGCGAAGTTTTCAGGGTTTGTTCTGTTCTGTTCTCTTAACTGCGGTAGTAGACAGTTTGTAAATGGGGTTTGTGTTATTGAATAAATAGTACAAAAAGCGCAAGAAAAACTTGCTTTGACGGGCTTGCTTTGGGCTTGCTTTGTATAGGTTCACCAGAGCCAATCGAACGAAATCCATTAATTGTGTTCTATTGAGTTCGGTTTCCGAACTCAATCGAACACAATCAGACGGATTGAGTTCGATTTGTTCGATTGAATTCGATTTGTTCGGAAATCGAACTCACTGAAAGTGTGGTGTTCGATTTCGTTCGATTGCCGAACTCAATCGAACTCAATCCACCAATTGAGTTCGATTGAGTTCGATTGAGTTCGATTTTCGAACGTTCGATTTACTATGCCGGGCTCATAGGTACAGAGCTTCTGATACTTCGAGCAGGAGCAGAGCCGCGAAATTCACAAAAACATGCGAAATACCGCGAAATTCAGTAGAAATCGTATCAAATACCACAAACTTGAAACTTATCTCAGCTATTGGGGCTATTTACTTGCCGTAACCTTGCAAATTTATCTTGATACTTCGTCACTGAAACGTGCAAATAACGTCCCGAAACTACCAGGCGTAGATTGTGTTGCGAAAAACTGGGTACTAGCCATGATGTTAAAGGCTTTGCCATTGGTTCATTTCTGGAGCGTTTTGTTGTTGAAAAAGCAAATGATGACCTCTGTTAGAAAAACGTTAAAAACGCTGGTCTGATCGGCGCAAAACCGATCGATATCTGACAAAATTTTCCCTAAAAAATAACCACAAAATCGGCCTTTTTTACCGATTGATTTTCGGCGAAGTTTGCCCCAAACATTCCCGCGAAAGTGCCGCAAAATCGGCCGATTTTTCCGTGAATTTGCCCCCTAAAAATCCCCCGAAATTTGACTTTTTTCGGCTACCTATCAGAAGCCCAGCATAGTATGGCGCGATCCATCAGATTTGAAAATATCATAAAGTCGGTATAAATTTGGAGGTAAAATGGCTTTGTTTATGGGATTTGGCACATTTTTTACGATGAAAGCAAAGCAAGATAAGATGAAATGTTTGTTTTAATTTTACTCTTCTAAAATCTGGTCGCCACTTTGGCGACTAAACCAGAATTTTTAGTCGCCAAGGAGAAAATGTTAGTCGCATTGGCGACCGTATCAGTCGCAATTTCGAGCCCTGTGTTGGAAACTATAATCATGAAGAGCTAACTAGACTCTTGCAACCTGTTGCTCAAATTAATGCACAGTTCATCATGGAGTTGTATTAAAACATGATAAAGAGTAAAACACTTAATCCACCATAATATTCAAGGATGAGATGAAAAGATATTGAATGGGATCCTAACGACACTTTTGTAAGCAATCTGGGTGAGTACTTTTAATAACAGTCTATTATTATTTAGCCAATTACCTTGCTTCCTCCCTACACCCCCAAATTAGGTCAATATACACTATTTAAGCACTGACAGAGAAAACAAAATCTAAAACATTTATCTGTGCTAAA